CAAAGATATTGAACAACAGAGGTCCCAACACTGACCCCTGAGGGACACATCTCTTTGTTCAGTTATGGATTTTGGTTAGGATTTCAAAGGGTCATTCTTCCTGCAGAGAAGGCAGTTACCAGGAACAGCAGCAGCAGCCCACTAGCAGGGGCCATAAAAACCTGTTTTCTGTGCTCTTTCACTTACCAAGCATAGTTAGAAGACAGGTGAAGTAAAAGCAGGGTGGTCACTGTATTTTGGTGCACAGGGTAGCACTCCTAGAGAAGTCAAAGTTCCTTCTACTCTTTCAGCACATACTCTCAGTGTTACTGGGCTGGGACAGACCCCAAAGCTGAGTAATAACTCTGTTACAGCTGCAACCCACTGGCTGGGGTGGCCAAAGCAGAGAGTAAGCACAAGTGAAACACGCACCGTGAGCACTCTCACTTCTTTAACTTGCTTTCTGAATAGATTTTCAGTCTCTGCAAAATATAGTAGTTTTCTGCACCAGGCTATGATGAACTGCTATAATTTAACCTTTTATATAATACAGGCCACAAAGCTGCCTGTAAAGCTGATATAATGCCTGTAACTTGTGATGAAACCATTGTGCACATCATTCCTGTGCACAAAACAGTATTTTTAAACTTGTCCTGAAGCAAGAGCTTTGCAGCATTAACAGAAGCAGCTGGGATTGTGAAAGCCTTCATCCAAAGAAGGTGTGGGTTTAGAAAATCTTATTTATATTGTGTAACCAAAAACTGGATGGACTCAAGGAGGAGAGTACATCAAAGCTTCCTCCCTAGGCAGTGCACATCTGTTTGCGAAACATATCTCAGGCTGGTCTTTCTGCCAGCTGTTTCTTGGGGCGTTGAGGCAGCATCTTCCTTACAAATGGCAAAGTAGTAGTGTGGCTGGTACAGCATCACTGACTGTTCTGGCTTGCTTGCTTCTGTTGTCTCTGGTGGTTGATAGGGACCAGATTCAACCGCAAGATGAGAAGAATAAGCAAAATTTTCAAACCAAGTATGAGTCTGAGGTGTAGGTGTGGGTGTAAAGTCTCTCTCTTCATTTCCATTAAGGTAAATGTAGGAAGAATTGTGATCATCAGTGTTATTGTCGGTTGTCACTGAAGGCAGCTGGCTCCAAGGATGTAACTTCTGGGCTTCAGCCTTACTGTCCACTGCTAGCATGTCAGGAATGCAGTCACTTATTTTCAGTACTTTCTCAGAACCGATCTAGAAGAGATCATAAAACAAAATAATTACTCACTGAAAGAAGCACAGAGTAAAGGAAAGGGAATGATTACTCCAAGCACTTCTACTACTGTCTTAAATTTTTTTTTGAGTTTGGATTTTCCAAATAAATGAACAGAATTTGAAGGAAAACACATGTACAGAACGCCAACAGAAGCTGTATTTTATGTGGAATTTATCAGAGTATTTATTTTGAGATTTCTTTTGTAAGTAGGTTGGGTATTACTACAGTTGAAGAATGAACCACGTCCCTCTGCTTTAAAGCCTTTGCCAGGTTTGTAGTATGTGCACTTTTTAGCCTGAGCCAGTAGTGGCAGAAGGCAGCAGCAGCAGTTAGGTGGTACAGAGTCCTCCCCCTGGTGCTACTGCTCAGTGAACCAGCAGCCAAATCAGCAGCAGCCCCTGGTTCGAAGGGCCCACAGAAGCAGCTGAATGCCTTTTTCCAGTCCTTTCCTGCCAGCCAGACCTGGTAGTGCCTGGCAGGGCCCCCTGCATCCTCACAGGGGCCAGCAAGCGCATCTCTGCAGTGCCCTCTGCTGCGATGTAGGAGGCAGGAGGATGGGGCAGCCACAGGTCACAGGCTGCAGCAAAGTGCTGTATCCTCTGGTCTGTTGTGTTCAGGCAGTGCTGGGTTTTGAACAGTAACACTGGATATGCGTCACCTATTGTATCAAAATGTTTCATTTATTCTCCAACTGCACTTTTACTTTTTGCAGTAATAGACTACAGAATGTAGAATGATCAATCACATTAATATTGAAAGGAGAATTTTCCACTAAATGATGGTACTAAATTATGTTGATTTCCATATAATGAACATCACTCATTTTTAAATGTAGTCAACACTGGGAGAGTATTTTTCTGAAACTCCACTAATCAAAGAATGGAAAATTAAATATACCAAATTTTCAATGGTCTTACCTTAAACTCTTGGAATGACAGCACTTTGCTCTTGTTAGGACTAGGTATTACAGGACAGCAGCATTCCTTCACCCTGGAAATAAGAGAGCAAAACAAATGATGGAGTCTTTTTCTCTCATCAAAGCATATTGTACCAGCAGAAGCCACACATAGACGTGTGCAGAAACAGCAGCAGATGATGAGCGTCCCAGAAATGCCAGAAGCCAAATACTTAAATCACCCATGCACACAGTTGTTCAGTCAAAGGGAAAAATGAATGAGGTCTTACAACAGGCTCGAAGCAACAAGCTGCAGCTGTGGTTACGTTCTCTGTAATGCATTATGACTTACCACTTCATCTTCCAGCGGCATATGGCTGCTACTAGTGCAGGAACTACCACTAGCAGGACTAGGAGGTACAGCATGTTGGCTATGGAAAAGAAATACTTTAAAAACTTGTTTTCATCTTCTCATCTGTCGATACAGCCTGAGTTTCCAGAGCAAAAACAGCATCAGGCCCACATGGGATAGCTGCCACTAACTCAGCAGTAAAACTGTGTATGTGGCCCATGGTTGCAAGATAGTTTGGCTGGAATTTCTAGGGTACAGCTCTAAGTCTTTGAACCTTGATTTCCTTTACCAAAATTGAATTAGTACTAGATTGCGTTTAATTTGTTCTCATGTTGGCACCTTAACTATAAGGGTAAATTTCCAAAAGCTAAGACAACAATAACCTCAATTCACTTTAGGCTTCATTTCGGTCCCCAAAGAAGACAGATTTTTACCACAAGATGTTGACAGAACATCTGTACCTCCGGTATGGACGGACTATAGCAAGACAGACAGTACACAAGTATTCATGCTCTCCTAGGACTTACGCTGACATAAGAAACTCAATTTCCTTCTAGTTAGAAGACACAGCCCTGGGCTATGTTTTTCTCAGACAGCTGAGGCTATAAGGAGGCAGAAGGGGAGCAATAGTTAGTGCTTGCTGTCCCTCTGCCCTGGCCAGTGCCCCCTTGCCCTGTGCCAGCAAGTCTGTGTATGCCTACCCCACACCACAACATGGAATGGGCATGTGTTACATCCTCCTTTTGTCTTTTTTGGGTTAGTTAAGCCCCCATTTTGATTTCCTGTGTGGCTGTACAAATGTCTGTGCCTGCACAAGAGAAGGCTGGCTAATGGGAGCTGAAACACCAGTCTGAGGCAGAGCTGCCTCTGTGACGGTGTTGTGAGGGTTTAGACACTGTTCTGCTAGTATGTATAAAACAATGAGTCTCCTTGTCTGAGCCAAGGCTTCACCCTTTCCTACCTCTCCCCCTTCACCTCTGCCCCCAGTTGGTTTTTCCAAAGCAGGTATCTCTGGTTTGGATGGTTAAGTTTCCCAACCACAGCTGCTGAGTGGTACTTTCAAGGGAACAGAACTACAGGCAAGCAATACCCTGTTCTGTTTTCATGGTCAGATCTGCCCAGTTAGCAAAATAAAATGCTCAAACCAGCAACCCCTCCTTTCTGACTTACTTACACAGGAGTTAACTTTGCAATGGATTTAAACACTTACGAGAATAACAATCACCATTAGAAGTTCAAGAGCCCATTGAGAAATTACCTGTTTGCACACAGGTCTGTAGTTTTTCCCATGTTAGAAAACTAGTTAAACCAAAATGCAATTCTTCAACACATTCTAGCAAACACGTCTCACTAGTCTGCAAACATGCATAAATCAAGCTATTTCCCAGAAAGATATAAAACTTAAATAAGGATGTAAAATTATTTTAATTCTAAAATGGAAAAAAAGTAGCTATTTAGAAGTATCACAATGCCGTGTTGGTATGCACATTTTGGTTCTCACCTGGATTCTTTCTCATTGTTACATTGAATTAAATATTTCTCCTTCTGCTAGAAGACAAATTTTCCACAGCCAATACTCACAGTTAAGCGGTGTATCTATGTATATAAAGTTTACAATGGGAGTCTCTCCTCCATCTGTATATGCTTTAACTACGAGTTTGTATTTTGTGTTTGACAATAGGTGTTTCACAGTGTATCTCTTTTCTTCTGGATTTTCAATTGTATATTTACATAGCACTGAATCATCTAAAATGAAACAGATAAGACAGAATCATAGAATCTCAGAATCACAGAATGATTGGCGTTAGAAGGGACCTCAAAGATCAGCTGATTCCACACCCCTACCATAGGCAGGGACACCTTCCACTAGACCAGGTTGTTCAAAGCCCCTGTGTTCAACTTGGCCTTAAATGCTGCCACGGGTGGGGCAGCCACAGCTTCTATGGGCAACCTGTGCCAGCACCTCAGCACCCTCAGAGTAAATAATTTCTTCCTAATATCTAGTCTAAATCTATTTCAGATTAAAGCCATTCCCCCTTGTCATATTGCTATGGGCCCTAGTAAAAGAAGTCTCTACATCTTTTTTGTAAGACCCCTTCAAGTATTGAAAGGTTGCAGTTAAGTTCTCCCCTAAATGTTACAAACCAGCTTAACCCAGACCGCTCGACCACCAAAATAACACAACATTTGGCACTTGCATACTTTCTTCTGAGAAGGATGATGTGTTCTGACTAAGTATCACTGGTCTGAATTCACATCCCTTCTAACTGGTCTGTCCACAGCATTGCATTTGGCAGGCCACCTAATAACTTGCTGTCAAAAGCTGAGACAGTTTAATTTCCTTTTAGTAGAGCTTTTGAGCAGAATGACTTGGGCTTTGCCATTTCCTTTTTTACCAGAATCTCATAGCCCTTAAGCTTAGGTCAAGTTCTTGGAAGATAATCAAAAGCAAGAATTTGCTGCCTGAAAAAAACTCCTTATGCCTCTCTATTGCGCAACTCCCAGACCCCAGGGAGAAAAGGGTTATCTTATTCCTTCTCCTTCCAGTCACACCCCTTGTCTGAGCTCAGACAAAACATGAAGCAGGAAATCTTCGATTTAAACATTCTAAAGTGTAACTGGGATGACTTGCAGAAATCTGGTATTTCTATGGTTAGGTTAGTTCTGACAGGAACTTCTATATAAGCCTCCTTCAGCTCAAGCTAAGCTTTTCAGTCTGGTACTAGTCTAATCAGCAGAAGAATCTGATACAGGACATGACCCAACTGGAAGTAAAGGCAAAGGGGAAAAGAAAATATCCTGGAACATGTTGGAAACATCTGAAAATTATAATGGAGCAAAGTCATCTGGGGCAGTTTTAACTGTGGAGCAGGAAGATCAGATATAAAAGTTTAAATGTGGCTTTGTGCCACCCCACAGCTCAGTTCTGCTGAAGGAACTCCACTGTAGAGCACAGCCACAAATACTTTCACTATAAAAGAATTTAAATAGGGAATTCACACAGTGCTCCATTCTGAAGGAAATAAACTGTATCCCATCTGTTTCTAAAATACCCCAAATCCTAGTAAAACTAGCATGCTTCCTATGACTCTCATCCAAGTAGACCACAAACAGATGTTTTCAAAATTTATCCAGAACTCAGACCATAAGAGGCAGAAACTTGACTCCTCCTACAGTACTACAACAAGCTTTTCTGGAGCTCACACTGGAGTTAGAAGGAACTATGGACAACATGACAGGGGCTATAAATCTGTATAAAGCCAGGACCCACTTCCTCCCATTAGCACCTCAAGCACTAGAGAGCATTCGAAGGCAGCAGGTGCTGAAACCTGTGTATTGCGTAATAAGCCAATGTGCCTGCCTAATGTCAGCTGTCTAAGAGGCTGTAGTATCAGCACCAGCCACACAGTCTTTCACCTATAGTAATGACACAAATTCCTAAATCCCAGAGCTGTTACCTGGCAGAACATGTTTTTGGGATCCTTTCAAACTGCAGTCCTCTTTTAGAGGTGACACATAAACGTGGTAGCCTCTTATAAAACCAGACTGTGATCCGTTTGTGGGATAAGAATCCCAAGATAGTGTTACTGCATTGAAAGTCAGTTCAATTTTTTCCACAACAGGGTCAAGCAGAGGAGCTGGAAGAAAGGAAATTCAGGTTAAACTTGCCATTATTCTTCCAGAATGTTCACTTAAAACCCAACCCAAATGGTGTTTCTATCTTACTTGTATTTAAAAGCTGTACAAAGCCAAAGCACTCCACAGGAGTTGTGAACTCCACAGAGCCTTCATACAGTCCACGTTATGCCTGTCCATATGACTGCTAGTCACAGCTTTTTTCAGCTATTCTAATTAATATGGACTCTACCTGGTCACTGCACTGGTCAAGTATGCTTGATGTAGGCTGTGTATATTGCTGTACAACTTTTAAATGATTGTATAGAAACAACATAGCAAATATATTTCTACCTACTTGCAGTAGGAAGGATGTGGAATTCTTCTGTTTCTAACAGATTAATTTAGCAAATACATAAACCCTAAATATACTGCCAACTTACGTAGCTCCCTGAGAAAACCAGTCTTCTTCTCCAGTAAGGATGCTTTATTAGCAACAGATCCATAGATTTGGAAGTTGTATCTCACCCCTGGAATAAAAGCAGCTAGAAAATAGTGAAACTGGTTACAAAAATAGGTTATGGTTTGTCTTTTTGTTTTGCTTTTACTTAACTGCTTTCTACAGAGGTCTATAATCCATTAGAAATCTTCTTTGTGGGCTATTGTGCTCTTAAGGCAACTGAAGGAGACACAAGATAAACCAATTCTTAGTGTGCCTAATGTGAATTGAACAAATTTATTCTGTCTGAAAGAGAGAATTGAGGGGGATTGTTAATATACTTTTGTTGCCGTAGAGTATTCAAGATGAGTGCACAATAGACTCAGAATGCATCAGAAGCAAGATAATTCCATTTCAGTTTCCTGCACAGGCAGGGGTCATGTTTTGGGCTGTTTAATGTAGACACATACCCATTCATCAGGATTCCATGCTATCCTCACTGACATCCACTCCTATTTGCATTAACCTAGTGCATCTCACTGAAGAACTCAACAACATTTTTATCAGGTGTTAACACACTCTCCTTCACTGAGGATGCAGGTTCTTATGCATTTGTATGCACTAAAGTGTTGTTCCTTCACTGCATATTGAAATACGTTCAGTCAAATTTTATTCAAACATGTTTCATTCCAAAGTGAACTCTCAGGTTGAGAGACATCAGGAAGCCTGTATTCTTGCAGTTGTGGAAGTACATCAGAGCAACTTTCACACAGCTAGAATCTTTTCTCCCAGTCACCATTGCGATAAACCCACACAACTGGTCTTAAGCAAGGACCAGGTCTGAGACGCATCACTTGTGGCACACTGACAGCACTAAAGCTCTCACTACACAGTGGGTTTTAAATTGCTGGAGTCTAAACTTCTGAGCCACGTTACAGATAAGGCACAGCTCAGTTTTGCATCTCTCCTGCTAAAAGATTTTAACTCTTTCATTTACCTCATCCTCCCTCAAGACATGACTAGAAGCCACTCAGAAGAGGTTTTTTCTAAAATGCTGTACTGACTTTTCTAAAATACTGTGCTGACTTCCTAGGCTTAATAATGCTGGTACATTTGAGGTGTCTAATTCATTTTCTAGGCAATGCATGACGCCACGTGCCTTTGAAGAACTACACCTACACTGCACAGATTTCAATATTCCACAGGATTTGTTTCCTAAATTCAATTAATGCCCACAGCATGAACGGTTGTTGCGCAGACATCAAGAAAGAAAAATGGTTCATCTTTCACCTGAGTTGATCAGAGCACTGGAAGTGTTGGGCCCAAATCTCTTCCACTGCAAATCACAAGGCTGCAACATTGGAAAGTTACACCAATCGACAATATAATTGTCGTATATATGTCTGGGCTCCCAGGTAATAAAAATGCCATCATCTGTACCATTAACCTGTTCTTCTTTAAGCTCTTGGGTATCTAGGAATAAAAAAACCATAGTCACTATTATTTTCCTGCATAAGACCCTTGATTCATAAACGAAGATCAATACAGTTTCTATGATAAGCAGTTAATAATAAAACAGTCACATTCCTTCACTATCAGACATACAGGATCCTTCACATGCTGAAAGTTGATTTCTTTTGTATGCACTGAAAACAAATCCACTAATTATTACTATATATTCATAAAACTTCAGAAACCTGGAGGCATAATCACAAGAGGCTAATCACACACAAGAGTTCTCTGCAGGGCACTGGCTTCATCTTTACAGCACCTGCTGCAGGTCTGAGACCCTGATTTAAGGCTAAATATGTTTTGCTCTGTGGAGCCTTTCTGTGCAAAACACTGTCTGTTGTAAGGGATGAATCAAGGCACTTAAGCTAAATATTCATACAGTTACCACTCTGTAAGCAATAACACATTAATAATTTTCAGATAGCAGTGTGTGAGTTAACAGGCCAGATTAATTTGTTCCCTCAAGATGATAAATTACCACTTCACAAAACTCTCGTAATGGAAACTAACTGAAAACTGTTACCTGTAGAGCTAGGGATTATCAATATGGAGGGAAGTGAATAATTTACATTGTTCTTTGCTGTGATACTCATTCTGTAAGAATGGTTATCAATGGAAATCCTTGTGCTATTGTAGGCTGATGAAAAGGAGGTGCTTTCAGACTTAGAACAATCTTCTACTTTTTCCCAGGTTACTTCATATGAAATATTTTCTCCATTTGCTTGAAAACTTGGTGCTTGCTGGGGAAAAAGTTATAGGGGTAGACACCAATTACTTACTAAATTTTGAAAAAAAAAAATAAAACCCCCCAAAAAACAACAGAAAAAGAAGCAAGGAACATTTAGAACTTTAAATAACTAATTAGATATATTTTTTCTGTAAGAATATAAACACTTGTTTCTGTACATGCATACATATACTGGTCAAAATAGAAATACAGAAATCTCAGTAATGGCTTTTGTCTTGTTATAATATTTGGAAAAACTGAAGTATATGTCTGAAATGCCAGGACAGCACACAGCTACATATGTTCTGACATATGTTATATATGATATTTGTCTTCGATTCTTAAAAGACATTTTCATACTGAATTGCTATTAAGTGCACACAAACTTGTTAAAAGTTCACAGGAGAAATTTCCAACCTGTTTATGAGGGCTTTGCTTCTGTTTCTGTACCAGTGCCTTACCTTCCAGAACAAGGTCACATTCCGCCCCCCCTGAACTGGTGTAATTTCTCTCCAGATATCCAGTTTCCCTGATGGAGCTGCAATAAACACAGTAAATCAAAGATGCTCTAGGTGCAGAAAGGATAAAGCATTTAATTGTTTCCCCCTATTTGAAGAAATTCCAACCCCAAACCCTCTTTATCCTTTTTCCCCATCACTCCCAGGTCTTGCCAAAGCATTATCCTTTAACTTCTTTCTCTCTTCATTATTCTTTCTGAATGAATGCCTGGTTCACCTCTCTTTGCTTGCAGTTCCCAGTTCTCTGCACCATTCCTCCAGCTCTCACAGAACACTGCAACTCAAGTCTGTTCATCCTCCCAGTCATCTGGATTTCACGCTGCCTGCACTGGATGAAATGGCAGACTGGCAGCTAGGATGAGACTTGTTTAGCAAGAGACACCTTCTTAAATTTTGCTTAGAGTGGTTCTACTTTTAAGCATGTGACAGGCCTCTGCTTTAGCTACACAGCAAGAGAGTAGCAACAAATGGCAAACAAAGGTAGCAAGTAAAGAACATCCTTCAAGCTTCCCTTCTCAATAGACTGGACATACTTGCTTCCTTTGTTCTGATGGTTCGGGCTTCACTCCATTCACTCCACTTCCAGAAATGCTTAGCTGCCCCACAGTGCACTCTAGTTGTGTATTCAGTGTATGGCTGCAGTCCATCCACGGTGATGCTGGGCGAGGCATAATGAAAGTGTGTGCCTGAACTATTATGCTGCAAGACAGAAAAAGAGAACAGTCAAGGCTCAATTCAGCTTCATTTCAGTTCAGAGGTTTTTGTCTGGGGGAAAAAAAAAAAAAGTTCTTCCCCTAGATACTATAGTAGCCAGTTCAGTTTGAGTTGAAAAAGATAATCATGGAACAACAGTCAAAAAACCCCAAAATAAAAGACATGCACAAGATCAAAAGACTGGGAGATCCAAAGAGAGGTCTGCAGGCTGTGTCAGTGTGACTGAGTAGGAGTCACTCACAAGCTGTCAAATGATGACTCTTTACATTAAGCAGGGAATCTGCTGAGATCTTAACCTCACAGAGTCTGGGTCTCTTACTCAGTTTGCGTAAGTAGTATGCTGTTTCAGATCTATGCACAATCTACTCTTTCCATTTTTCCCCACCCCTTTCCTCCGCTCTCTCCCAAAAGACAGAGAGAGTTCTAATAAGAGTCAGAAAGTGAACATGCTTTTAAGCCTCTCCTCTAAACTGTCTCCTGCAATGATCAACTGCAGCAGCCATTTGATCTAACAGCTCCTGAGCAATACTTAAGACACGATGCAACTTGATCCTGATCTTCATAATGACTTTTTAATATGCTAGAGGCAAGCTGCCTTCACAAGATAAGGGCTGCAAAGGAATGACAGTACACATGCAAAGAGTTAGCCAATCACACCATTTGTGAAACAGGTGGAACAAGACAAGGAGGCCACTCAGTCTTCAGGGAGGTGGAAGAGCATGGGAAGAAAAAATGTTGGGGGTTCCCTCACTAGAAACCAGACACACTACCATTAAGCTCAGTAAATAGTACACAGAAAGCTCCTGAACTAATATAAAAAAAGCCTTCAACATGCCTTTCCGACGTCTGTGTGTAAGATGAGATGAGTAATAAAAATGTGACAAATCCAGCTATCCTCAGTGTAAAGCAAACAAATCCAGAAAACAGACACATCAACATGCTCATGAGATTTAGACTGTATTCAAATTGCTGGTGGATTATCTTCTAATCTCACATAAAAAAAGATACTCGCTATGTTTTTGTGTATGAAATTCAGGTTTCATACCAGTTCTACTTTCCCATCAGGTAGGAGCACTTCAGTCTGACAAAAGAGTTCAATTCCTTTGTTTTGATGTTTCCAATGTAATGTGATTTTGGTATCTGTGCATTCTTCCCACAGCTGCAAAGGTGCGGCAGGATAAACTGTCAATGGAAGATCTGAGTTAGCTTCCACAAAACATATTTTAAGGTATTTCAGCTGAGTAGTAAAAGCAAATAAATACAGATTTCTTTGCCAGTGTAGGAGAAACGTATCTAAATTAGTAAAAAAATAATTTCAGAATATAAATGCAAGTAAATATTATACAATATGTAAAAAACCCAAACCAAACCAAAAACAAAACAAAAAAAAAAAAAAAAAACCCAACAAAAAAACCAACCCCCTTGTGCTGACTTCGAAATATTTTAGAAAATGGTGAACATAAAATAAAGAGTCAGAGACTTTCATTGCAAACACAGGAAGATTCTCTAATCCAGGAGCTGGTGGAGGCTCCCGATGTAGCACGGTGAGTAATATTTGCCACATTTCTACACCCCAGAATCCAGCCTTTTCACCAGAAATTTTATTCATATCTCTTACATTGACCCATGCCAGTAGTTACCCCCTGATAAACAGGGCCAATGCTACCTCTTCCAGACAATTTCTGAGATCCTTGACTGCTATGTAAGCAGTATCCAGTGAGAGCAGCAGATCTCAAACTCTCCCATATTATCAATACAATTGTAAGGAATAAGACATGGCCATGTGCGTGAGTGGTATGTTTACAGCTTTGGCATTATCCTAAATGGATAATGAATTACAGTTTGAGGACTTCCAGACTCAAAGGAGATTTGATGCAGAAGGTCCCAGCTACCAACTGCAGAATTGGAAATGATGGACATCAGGTTTTTTTACATGCTGACAACCTTTAAGTAAGGAAAATTCTACTGTAAATATGTCCAGGATTACAGAAAACATAAAGGACTTTACAGAAATCACTATTTAAAAGGTTAACTCATCATAAATATTATGTATCACTTTTAACTCATAACTATCACTAGAACTGGAAAACTAGTAAAACTTTAATGTACTTAGCACACTGAATGTAATCTCTTTTAGCCTGAATTCCCATGGAAACTTACTTTATAATATTGTGTTGTCTCACTGCAACCTGTTAATTTACTCCTTCACTTTCTTCCTGCTCTATTTCTTCCACCCCCAAACAATCAAATAATCAACTTTTAGAACTCTCATGCCTTTCTGAGACAAATTTACCAAAGACAGGTATGTAACATTGGTTCCTACAAATTGTATGAAAAAATATGTCTAGCAAAACTGTAATCAATGCCTTTGAGGAAGCAAGTACTGCCAGAACGCAGCAGTAACACCAGACTCCCTGTCCATCAGATGTCAGCTAAAAACAAAGCACATGTTGCCTCCTGCTTCTTCAAACAGGTAAAGCAGCCACAGGACCTTCAGAACACTGAGCTGATGTGGTGAGGCTAGAGGGCTCAGGGAGAACTGGAAATACTGCTGCAGACATAGGAAATACCCAGGTGTTCTGAGGCAGAAGTAAGTAGGAACTTACAGCACCTGGGGTACACTGTGATGAAGGATACAACTCATAGGGAAGAAGAAACTACAGCCATCAGCTACTGCTCACAGAATAACCTGTTTTACTTCACACTAATGATGAAATACTCTTCTGCCCCTAAAGTAGCACAGAGAATGTTACTGTCCAATATTAGCACCAAGAGAGGTTAGCACTATCACCTTTTTCCTGGCACTGGCAATGGCTGCTTATACCTGCATAACACCTCATTTGGAGAGGTGTTAGCAATTTTATTTACGCACTTTTCAAAATGTACATCTCTATTTTATATTGGCAAGACAGTAACATCAGCAATAATACTTTGGAGAAAGGACTGAATTCCCAAGTAACTGATACAGACATTTTTCTTGAACTTCCCATTTTATATGCTTGTATCATGTTGCTTCCTATACGTTGAACCACCTTTAGCAAGGCATCAGATTTTGAAGCATTAAGGGGTCATTTCAGTAACCAAATACGACCTTTGCAGTGAAGCTGGTTTTTACCATTAACACAACTTAGCAAGGCTGAAACTGAAAAGACAGCAGATAACTAATAAGAACTGTGAAGATAAAAATCAAGGACTTCCATACTTTAAACTGGGACACAAGTATTAGGATCAGAAGGAGGACAAAGCCTGTGACAAAAAAACCTCAATAAAGACATAGAAAAGACCTTACTTCTGTGAGTTACATCAAAAACATCTGTGGTAGTTTTCTTTCCCAGTGGGTTTTCCACAGTCATGGTGATTTTCAGGATCCTCTGCTGGCCTATATCCCAAGAACATGAGCACTGCTCAGAACAACTTACTGTGCATGGCACCTTATTTTGGGAAAACCTATCAAAGAAAGTGGGGGTAGAGGGGAGATAAAGAGAGAAAGACATTTTTCCATAATGTACAATTGACATAGATGTTGAAAATGGCCAACACTGTAAAAAATAAGGGGGAGAGGGACTATAAGAGGATACCCAGTTCTTTTCCCTAGCCTGAAGTAGGATGTTTACAGGTATTTTTACAATTAGAAGAAAGTTTTCTTGAAAGTCTGAGTTTACTTTATCTTTTTAAGATACAGCTAAATTGCTATACTTTTAAGATACAGCCAAGCTTACTTTATCCTTTTAAGATACAGCTAAATTGCTTTTAGTGATTTCCTTGTGGAAATTCTAAACTAGGGACTTATTTGCCAAGAATTAAGCGATTCACATTATGCTTTCAAATAAAGCAGTGATTTCAAGCGCATCTTCTAACCTTCCATTTTTAAAATCAGCATCATAATATCTTAATGGACGTGAATGATGAAGAGACCATGAAGGTATAATGCAGTGATGACCTGCTTTCTGCTGAGGTCTTTTGATGAAAGTTTGTTGTTCCCTTTCTCTGTACGCCCTGCGGTAAAGTCCCTTTCCTCTCCATTTAGATGCCTTTGTAGCTAGGAGCCACGGGCCAGGTCTGATACGCCACAGCTGTGTAGCAGCTGAAACTGTAGAAACTATAGACAGAAGTAGGATTGTCAGTAGCTCAAGAAGGAAAACACCAGCATGTAAAGTTATAAAATCCTAAAGAAAAAGTACGAGGGAGGCTAATCAGGCTAACTGAGGGTTAGCTGGGAATTATCAGTTTGTGTCAGCATTAATGTAAATGGCTTGTGAACACACTAATACCATCTGATTTAATCCTAGTTATCTGTTGTGTGTTACCCAATAATTATATTCTTTTCTGTTATCTAGATTCTGACTGCAAGGTGTTTTCATACACACTGAAAGATATCCAAAGAAATTAACCCAAAAGAATGTTTAGAACAAGCTTTATCAACCAGAACCTGTCTGATGAACCTGCAACTTTGTTGTAAGTAGTATAATTGAGAGCAGTTCTGCACTGCTCAGACTTCGTTAAATAAAGGATCAGGGCTGGAAAGAGGCAGCAGCTAATTGCAACAAGGATAAAACATTTCTGCAGATTTTAAAGGAAAGAACATAACTGTTCTGTACAGCAGAGACCAAAGTTAATATAACAGTGAGCATACTTACTCTTCATACAAGGTGTATTTTGGTGAATAATGTCCATAAAGATATGTGTCTCCTCCCTGGCTCCAAGTACATGTTACTCTTCTCATGTCTTGAGTTTGGCAGGAAAAATCATTAGGTGCATGAGGTGATTCTTGTCAGAGGGAATAAACAAAGAAAACACCAACAGCATGGCAGTCAAGGCAGAAGTCATCAACCTTTTTACTATATTAACAAACTACAAGTAATGGATATCTACAAAGTTTAGTTTACTACTGATATTATTATTTCAGTTAAACTTATTCAACCACTACTCCACAGACAAAATCAGGATAACATCAGAAATTAATTGCAATCCAAACACTTCTGTATGTTATTATTTTTTGTTATATTCATATATTCATTAATTTAATCTGCACTGTTTTCTATCTGTAAAAATTGCTACTAGCCTTCAAAAGGGGACTGTGCAGAGTTTTTACCACATGCACACAGACAAAGAAGCTGAACTCCTAAGTGGGTAGGTATATTAAAAAAAATCAGTCACCTGTCCTAGAGTCAATTAAAGAGAGTAATCTGAACATATTTAATGCTATTCTTTAATGCTTTCTATAGGAAAGTGTACAGATATGAACTCACACAGACATTAAACAGAGTTCAGCTGCACATGACAGGACAATGACAATTTCCCACAGCCATTCTTGACTAATAACAACAGGAAAATAGAATTGTAATAAAGCATTCACTTACTACCCACAAAGAAAACTGCATGATCATAGCATTGCTCCTCATTGCAAGACTCTTGACAGTAGACGGTGATGTGAGGCACTCCTTGATGTGACACATTTTTCAGAGTGAGAAGTCTGACTTGACTGTATGTGTGATTGAAAACATGAACAGCTGGGACTAGAAAGAATTCCTTAAGGGTTTGACCTTTCCTTCCAAGGCAACAAAGAGTGAAGTCAGAGCCTTCCTCTACAATTTTCTCATTTGGAAAGATTTGTGGTCCACTGTTATTTGAAGTGTCCAAGCCTGAAAATTAATACATAACAAACCATTTCAAAATCTACTCATGGCAGCAACCTTCAACTAGAACGCATAACTGAGCATTTACTCAAGAATCTACTAATATTATATTATCCATTCATGGACTTCCATGTAGTTAATTCCATATGTAATTATACCTGTATTTCTCTTAAACCCAGAAACATATAATGTAGTCCAACAAACTACCTAACAGACTAAATCCATCTCCCTGCTTAACTTCCACTTAGGGAAACGAAGAGTATGCATTTAAGAACTGTCTTTACAGATGAACACTACCCCCTGCACCAGTGAACAGTCTGATACTCAGCCAAAATGCCTGCTCTTGAAGATCATAAGCAGGGGACTTAGAAAACATAATCTTCTGAAGCTCATGCAGCACTCAGCTAAGAGGAGACAACATGGAATGAATTAGATCAGTAAGGGGATACTCAACTTGGAATGTCCAGTTTCAACAGAAAAAATAAAATCTCCAAGATTGAGCTTTGTGAGAAACCAAGGGAGACCTGCATCCTATTTCCCATTATATAGATGGGGGAAATGGGCAATCTATGCTGCTTGTACTACCCATGATGTCTCCCATAACTAAAAGCCCTTGCTGCTCCAAACAAGACTAGTGTTTCTTTACAAAGTCACTGTAGACTGTAGTAATTTTTTCTAAAGCAGTTACATATTTTGTTTATAACAAACTATCTGGAAACCAAACTGTTCTAGTAAGACATTGTAATCTGAAAAAAAAGGGTTTTGTGATACCATGAATTACGTTATTGATTCATTCCCTCTTTACGCTCATAATTCACAAAAGGTCATTCCAAATGACATAAAGAGCTGACTTGCTCCTCTCTCTCTGCTTCTTTAATACAAATGAACGCTATGAACCCCAGACAAAAGCAACACGTGCATCAGATGATGTAGCCATAGGTATGCACTTCTGCTCCTCTCCCTCAGACTAGGCTAGGACTGCATCTGACCTGGTGACAGGCTATTCCAGAGCCTATTCAGGATCCCATGCCACTCTATGTACTGTATTGTTTTAATGTATTAACAATAAAAGCTCTAAAACTTTCAGTCTGACAGCTTTGGAAGACAGTCTGCAACTTAAAACAATGGCTAAAGAATTGCTATTACTGCCAGAAAAAAAACCCAACCCAATAATAATAATTGATTAGTGATTAGAGATGAAAGAGTTCAAAATGGATTCTTGATTTGACACCATCTCTCCTGAACTACATTTTAGCATTACAGTCACCAGTGAATTACAATCTAACTTTGTACTAGGAAAAACTAAAACCAATATTGAAAAGTCTTGTTTTGCTTACCTAGCACAGTCTCCCACAGACTCCACTGACTCCAGATTTTTGATGCTTTTGCTTTGCTCCTGATTCTCACTGAGTGTGCCATACATTCCAAAGGTATGTCTGAATCCCATATCCAATGAAGAGGCTTTCCTGATTTGTCAAGTGTGGCATTATGAAACTCCTACAAAGAGCAGTAAGGCAAAGTATTGAAAACATGGCTATGTGCAGACACTTTGGAAGTACAACACAAGCAATGAGAGAAAGCTCAAAGAAGCTTTTGAAAAAATTAATCTCTGAAATCCCACTTGCTTCACATGATCTTACACTAAGTAACTAGTAGTTAAGTAACTGCTTACAAATCTGTACTAGCAGCAGTGGAGTGACTGATGTGCTGACAACACTTACTTGATTCTGACAACATAGTCGTGAGTCAGGCCTTGCTTCTCAAGAAAGGGATTCACTCTCAGTCTTTCTGTACGTTATTTGTGCAGGCTACTACATGAGTAACAGCATGCACAGATGCACCTGCCTGCAGGTGCACCTCGTATAATGATCTAGGTTATATAGTCCTGGCTTTGCATTACAGCCAATTAGGCTGATGATATCTCATTGTAGTTCTGAGGCACAACATCTGAGAACAGTACTACCATCAGTGACAGGCAGAGTAGGAAAATACCTGCTGATTTCACAGAGTGATAGAATGGTTTGGGTTGGAAAGAACTGTAAATATCATTTAGTTCCAAACACCCCTGATATGGGCAGGGACACCTTCCAGTAGATGAGGTTGCTCAAAGCTCCATCCAACCTGGCCTTGAACACTTCCAGGGATGGGGCAACTACAGCTTCTCCAGACAACATGTTCTAGCATCTCGCCACCCTCAGAGTGAAGAATTTCTTCCTAATACCTAATCTAAATCTCCCCTCTGACAGTTAAAAGTAATTCCCCTTTGTCTTATCCCACACGGCCTTGTAAAAAGGCCCTCTCCAGATTTCTTGTAGGACCCTTTAGGCACTAGAAGCTGCCCTAAGGTCTCCCAGAGACTTCTCCAGGCTGAACAACCCCAACCTTCTCAGCCTGTCTTCACAGCAGAGGTGCTCCAGCCCTCTGATTGTCTTCATGGCCCTCCTCTGGACTTGCTCCAACAGGTCCATGTCCTTCTTAAAGGTGGAAAGTCACCTCCCTTGACCTGCTGGTTATGCTCCTTTTGATGCAGCCCAGCATCACAGCCAGTCTGTGAGTGCACATTGACGGGTCTCGTTGAGCTTCTCATAAACCAACACCACAAGTCCTCCTCCTCAGAGCTGCTCTCAATCCTTTCTCAGCCCAGCCTTTATTTGTGTTTGAGATTGCCCTGATCCAGGTGCAGGACCTTGCACTTGGTCTTGATGAACTTCATAAGGTCCACCTCTCAAGCATGTCCAGGTCCCTCTGGATGGAATCTCTTCCCTCCCATACCACACTCCAAAAACCCACTTAGTTGTAGTTATATGGCCCCAGTTTCTCACTTCAAGGTTAGTTCTACTCATGGAGTATTAAAAATCCTATCCCATGTATCAGTGGTCAAAATTCTCTGAACTGCATAGATAATACCTGCTTGACTGACCAGAGCAAGTTGTGACTCTTAACAGGGCTATCTTTTTTTATCGACTTCATCGACTTCTGGTTTCAGAAAAAAGAAGACCTTCTCTGCTGCCTGTGCTTTCTTGCAAATAGCAGCTTTAAATGAGCTACAACAGTTTTCTGGTTTTACTAAGTTTTAACATGTGCACTTCATATTCTTCCACAATTCAGTCAGCAGATGACTCATAGTAAGCTATAATATCCCTAAAACATGCATTTAGTTCCCAAAGGATTTCTGTCAGATCTAAAGGAGAGAAAATTTTCTTTGGAGACAAAATTTCTCACACTTCTCTGAGGAAAACATCAGGAGCAGGCCTATAATTTGAGCGATCTCCACCTCTTCAGAAAATCTGGCTGGTTTAGTTGTTAAGGCAAACCAGCAGTATAAGGACTTTACAAAAAAGACATTACTACTTCCTTAACTGGAAGAGGATAATGTAACTGGGTGTAACATAACTGCTAACAGGGCCAAGTGCAGGGCTTAGAAGGCTTCACTCACACTGAGACTACCTTTGGTTCATAAACTGAGAGAAGATGCAGCAACATGACTCATGCTCAGTCCCCAGTGAAGGATAGTAATCATACTACAAAAAAGACTGCCTTTGGGAGCTGTAGGAGGGATGTTTCTGGGAAGCTGCATAGGGGATCTGCACCTTGAAAGGGAGAGGCCTTCAAAATCAGATCTCCTAAGTTTGCCCACCACAATCCCTCAATAAAGGTATGCAAGGTGCATCTACATTCTGCACAGCTGGAAATTACTTCACCTGACACCTAATAAAGAGGTATTTCTAGTACAGTTTTGTAAATAGTATGTTGTGAGTCGTAAACCTGTACAGGAAAGCTATCTGCATATACACGTGAACATTGGATTTTCTTTTAGCTTCCTTTATACTGTAAATACCTAATATACCCTTTTTCAAAAAATACACTTACTGTCCACATAGTACTAGTTTCATCTGTTCGACGGACTTGTATTTCAAAAGACATTGCCAGCTCAGCATCATGTGCTGACTTGCCAACATCCCATTCCACTAGCAGCCGCTGAAAAGCCAAATCCTTGGAAACGTTAAGGTAAGTTACTGGAAACACAATGGATTCTAGGAGCACAAAAAGGACACAACAATATTAAAATTTAGAGGAGTTATAAAGCAAATTGGAAACAACAGTGGCTAGAGGTAAGATAGGTTCCAAACCAGACAGTTCTGATTTGGGGAGGGAGGAAGAGGGGGAGGAAGTAACCAAGACCCATGTTATTGGTATCAAAAGCAAAGATAACTTTTCATCTTAAGGCATAAGCAGCTAGAAAGAGGTTCCTGGATCTAATCGATAGTCCCTCCATCATGAGATTGGCTATGCTATTTAATTTCTTTATGCCCTCAATTTACTAGCTAATTTATGGGAATACCAATCCATCCCTTTTATAGTTTTATGAAAAGGAATAACATAATGTCTTAGAAGAGACTGAATCCCAAGAAATCCCAACCCCCAGCAAGTCTTCTCATCATTAAGCAGAAAATCCAGGCTCAATTTTGCTCTCTGACCCAACTGGATAGGTTGAGAGTTTCCCTCCACTAAGAAGTTCAGATGATATTCTAATATTAGGCACATTCATGGTTGCTCTACACAGAGCTTAGGTCAGGCCTATGAATTCTTCAACTGGAATAAGACACATGCTTATAAATGTACCTCCATCCTTTTTGAGGGCTTGGAGTTAATTTCCAGAATAAAATAAAGTTTAAAAGTCAGACTGAAGTGCCTTTTGGTGTCAAGACAGGAAAGGCCCTTAAGACTAGCCTTCTGAAACGTACAGATCAGCTTACAAGCAGTCCCTCTTTTTAGATGTCTGCTCTGTCACCTCTCCACTGAAAAACTAACTCTTGGGAGAGATTGAATATGGCACTCACTGACCTGTATCTTCTCTCCTTCCTGAAAAACAAACAAGCAAACAAAATGCTATTGATCTGGTTGTTAAGGAAGCCAGGCAACTGAAATAGCCAAGTAAATAGGCTTTTTCTTTTGACACAGTTGCTTTCCAATATGCTTCTGCATGTTATAAATGACAGAATGTTTACACCGACCAGGACACAGAAAAGAAATCACAGAAATAACTGTATATTTTAATAAAACAGAACTCTTTCTGGTCATTCCTGTCCCACTACAGCCACAGTCCTTAGGGATGGCATGTACTGAGAGATCTCAGAAGCTCCTTCTCCCAGAATGGCCTCATCTAGTCATTTCTCCCAGTTGTGCTTCACCTGCTGACCCAATGATTACCTTAGCAATTTTATAGAACGTTACTAGCACAAATGCTAGCATTCAGGAAATTTAGTTTAATAATCTACATTTTGATAGATGCTTCTGGCAGCAATCTAAACTCTTTTGTAATTTCTTCTGTAGTGCCTGCTCCACACTAACTTCTGTGAAGCAGTTTCCCT